GATTGATGCAAAAGTTATTATTTATTTAAAAAAAAAAATGTTCATGGTAAATTAACTAATTTGAAATGTACATAAATTATATAACTTTATAAAGGTATATAATTTATATATATATATATATATATATATATATATATATATATATATATATATATATATATATATATATATATATATATATATATATATATATATATATATATATATATATATATATATATATATATATATATATATATATATATATATATATATATATATATATAAAGAAAATGTGTAATACTATAAAAAGTTTGAGAACTCGTAATGAAAACAAAGATATGCTGATTTGCCATCTGATCTTCCAGTTAGTGATCTTCCAACTTATAGGCAAGTGGTTCAATATTCCTACTTTATTTTAAAAAAAAATAGACAGTGTCAGAAATATTAATTCTCCAAAGATTGTTTCAAAAGTTGCCAGTGACCTTATTGATCTGTGGATTATAGTAAATTCTATGCTGCCTCTGATACACGAGAAGTCAGTAGCCAAAAAATGTTTTAGACTTTTCATCAAAGTTTTGTCTGCAGAAGGCTAATTCAAAAATTCAAATATAAACATAGAGTATCTTGATTGCAATTTTGAGCGTTTATTTGATTTGTCATCATGAAATTGTGGACTTCCAGTTATAGCTTGCAATGATAAGTAAGAAAGGCCTATTTTTATTTTAATATAACTTAAAATATTTATTATTATATAACAAAAATTAATATTATTAAATAGTTTCATGGTTTGCAGTTCTAGTTTTCATTTAAGTTTATTTTGTAGATAAATAAATTATGTTTTGAACATTTTTATAGATCTGTGAAGTGTAGAAACCAACCAGATTGCAAGACAACACATTTTGCTTGTCTCTTTGAAGTTAACAAAAAGGTAAATAAGTTGAAATTATAAAAGTTAATTTTTTAATTTAAATCTATAGTTTGTGAACAAGTAATCAGAATCAAAAGTATGTCAGAAAAATAACGTAATTAATTTTCTTCGACTTTGGCAACAGATCATTTTGTTGTATATATTATTAAGAAACACATCATTGTAATATAATACAAGGATATATTATATATTGTTTTTTTACTTTACTCCATGTCTTTGTAATATACAATATAATTGTTTTTAATTGACTTAATGTAAAGTAATTGTTAAAAAGCTCTTAAACATTATAATTTTTATGTTTTGCAATTAAAAAAAGTTTTACATTTTTCAGGTACCACTATTAGATAGAGAATATTTGAAGGATCAAAAATTGAAAATTAGAACTATTGGAAGATTTCAAATTGGTACGATTGATAAAAAAGCAGTTGCCATCGAAAAAGAAAGCGAGACCATAAAATTATTCAGCAGATAAGATCTGCTAACTCACTTGCTCCAGAAATTCAATGTGATCATTATATGGATTGTGATTTAGATAATAAAAATGACTCAGAAACAGATCCTGACTATTCGATAACTGCACCAGCTAAAAGAAATCAAACTTATTTAACAAACTTGGCAAAAGCTGCTTTTAGGTATGAAATAAGCAATGTTGCAACAAGTGCATTGGCAACAGCTGTATTAATTTACTATGGAATTGTTAAAAAAAGTAATTAAAGCACAAATAATAATAGGAAAAAAATTTTTTTGGGAAAAAAAAAGAATAAGCAGTATTATAAGCTCTAAACATTTAGCTGACATTAAGAATTAGAGGTTATTGGAATTGATGAAAAAAAGGACAAGTTTACATTGACACATTCTATCAGGTATAACAGTAATAGAGATCCAGTTGTTGTTGTTACAATCAAAGAAGAATACTATCTAACATTTGCAGCATAGAGTGAACCCACATCACAAAGTTATTTGACTCATGTAGTTATATCTAATGGAATTGGTGAAACCATGGCAAATGCTACTGCTAATGTTTTGTTAAATTTAACAGTGTTCAGAGTTTAATAGTGGTTATTTAGATAAGACAAGTTCAAAAACAGGTCGCGATAGTGGTTTGGTTGTCAAACTTAAAAAATTATAAACAAAAACTTACACTTTTTAGGATGTTTGCTGCATCAGAATGAACTACCACTGCAACATATCGTATCAGAATTAAATGGAAAGACATTGTTTCAATTTGTACCCATAAAGTCAGAGGTAGAGTTATTTGTTAACAAAGAGATTATAAGTGATCTTAGTACAGACCAGCGCAAACTCTATGAGCATTGCGTTGGTATTTCAAAAGGTCTTATTTTTGAATGGTTTGTTTCAAAAAAACCAGGACTAGTTTGCCATGCCAGATGGCTATCTTTAGCACTCAGAATTATGATGTTATATGTTAGGACTAAGGAGCCATCTCTTGAGCTATTAGCAGTAACTAAGTATATTGTGCAAGTTTACTGTGTAATGTGGTTTGCTATAAAGCACTCTGGACAATACAAAGATGCTTGTCTACTCCTATATAAAAATGTTCAGTTGGTCAATCTTCAAAAAAGCAGGATTCAAAGTATCGTTTTTATTAATCTCCAGGGAAATTCATACTGTTGTTTGCAGGAAAATTTTCTTTACTTCATGCTGCAGAATGAAAAGATACATTTAAGAAATCGAGCTTTTAACCAAATTTTTATAATAAGAAAATTAAAATAAGACATTACTTTCAAAACTCAGCTTAAACCAAAATCGGTAATAAAAATAAATTTTGATGCTGGTTCTTGGGACTTTCTTGTTTCAGTTGATGAGATTCAAACTGAGCCACCAGCAACACTTAGAGTTACTTCAGAAAAAATTAGAGAGGCATTTGAATCTAGACAAAAACTTTGCCTAAATGATTTTCCTATTAATTCGCAATTCGTTAAAAGAGCAGTAAAACTAACCTCTGAAGCTGCTAAGCAGGTTTATGGTCTAGAAAAAAGACACAAATTCATTTTGGCAAAGAACCAAAGTCAAAAAGAGTATAAGAGAAATGTAAAAAAATGTGATTACTTTATAAAATGAATATCTAATTTTGCAATTTTCAGTGCGATTTAATTAAAAACAGCTTGCTATGACAAATGCCATAAAAAACATTCCAACTAAGTTGTTTAGTGTTAATAAATTAATATTCCTTAAAAAAACAAA